TGAGAGACTGTTCAGGGAAAGTAATGCACACGAGACAAGGACACAAGAGGCTAAGCAGGGAAGATAAGAAGGAAGAGGAGAAAAGTGCGACCGCCTTTGCCGAGAGCCAAACAAGAATGAATGAAGAACAGAAACACATCGTCCACGTGGAAATGGATCTCATTAAGAGTAAAGATCGTTGTTTTATTGTTCGTGAATGCTTCTTTGCATTCTCCATCCCATCAGAGAGCACCCTCCATGAGCATGCTACTGATGGAGGTCTCTTCCTGTTAAAAAGGAGTTCTTCCTCCCTACAACCACTAAATGCAGCTCAGTTTAAATGAGACAGAATTTATTTCAATAACTTATTTTAAAAAAGTAAAGCATATGAAATGTTAATACAAAAAATAAATAAATAAGACCAATCTAAAGTAAAAAGTCAGAGTGACTAAAATGCACGAACAGTGTTTGAAGAAATATGTAGAAAAATAAATAAATATTTCAAATAAATACATAAATAATGTGAATAAATACATAAATAAATAAATAGAAAGAGGAACATCAGAAACACTCTTTGGATATTGTGTCAGTGTTGCGTTGCTGTTGCGTTGCTGCAGAGCGCCTCCTGCTGGCAGCAGCAGGAACTCTGATGGAGGCCACGAGCAGCTCCAGCTGTTCCAGGCGCAGTTTGGTTTCCTTCCTGAGCAGCTGCCATGACGCAGTACCGCAGCCCTGTACACACAGTACTACACTTATTACCACTGTCGCTACACACAATAATACAATGAGTACTACAGTACTTGTACTTACAGAGCAAGACAGAGTACTGTTGGCCAGAGTCCTGTAGTAGCTCCTCAGTCTGCTGTTGGCTGGACTGTTGGTGGAAACCTGGAGACAAAGAACAGTTCAGACTGAGGCTCGGAAAGGAGGTGAAGCACTGATGAAGAGGAGGCTCTGGGAGGAGGTGAAGCACTGATGAAGAGGAGGCTCTGGGAGGAGGTGAAGCACTGATGAAGAGGAGGCTCTGGGAGGAGGTGAAAGGAGGTGAAGCACTGATGAAGAGGAGGCTCTGGGAGGAGGTGAAAGGAGGTGAAGCACTGATGAAGAGGAGGCTCTGGGAGGAGGTGAAGGAGAGTGGGTGTGGGTGCATGTTTGCTCCTGTGAGTAGGCTGAAAGCAGTGAAGTGGGCGTGTCCACTCACACACGCGCTCAGCTCCATGATCTGTCTGTGGATGACCGTCAGGAAGCCCTCCGTCTTGTCGGCGCCCCAGGGAGCGGCTGACAGGTTGTCATGGCGATACAGACAGAAAATAAGCTGCAGACTGTCTCTGATGAAAACCAGCTTTGACTCCACCTGGAGAGAGAGAGAGGTGAGCTGCAGGCGTCTGATTGGCAAACAGATGTGATGTCATCGATGTATTCATGTGACCTACCTCAGAGTTTTTTATTTGCTTGTAGAGATGTTTTGGGAATCGAACCGGATGAACTGAAGAGTGCTGTTCAGTCAGCTGATCGCCCTGAAACAGAGAGACAGCGCTTCATTTCACCACATCGCTCTGAGCTGTTGCCAATCATGACGTGTTGTTGACGTCCACACATTCAGGGGCTGCTTCCTCCTGAGGCCACATTTGTAGACCGATTGCGTCATAGCGACGCGCCCAAGGCTGTCCAAATTCTTAGACTCCTCCGAATGCGTCCCCCTTTTCCCCAAATTTGAAGGATGGATCGGGTGTATCCTTCTTGGCCCACAATATCCCAGAATTCATAGCGTCACCACTACTACGTTTTTAATATTACTCTTATTAATCTTTCTGGGTCACAAAATAAGCTTCTAAGATATTTTCAGTAGCCGTGTAAACTCCAAATATCTGCTCGGTTTATCAAGATATGACATATTTGGAGAGACGTCTTTTACCCACCAGCTTGATAGCTAGCCGGGGCGATAACCGCTAACTCCACCCAAACATCGTTTTCAACCCCCCCGTGGTCTTAACTACTCAGGTTAAGCATGATATATAAGTCACTTAGATAACTTAAACATGTTATTGTTGGGCTTTTTTCAGTGTTTTATTTGTTTGTGAGTTTGGCTGAGATCAAAGTTCTAGTTTCCACACAGCTGACTAAACGTCAAACAGAAAACTGATTAAACAGAAGTGTGAGACGGTCGAGAGTTTACTACAGTGTCCTGTTATATTTTAGACAGCAAGGAGCAGACGGCGAGTTTATTAACTCCACCGAGACAGCGGTGACGCAGATCTGAAGGCTCGAGCGTCACATTTCACAGCCGCTCACTTCCGGCCTACCCGACCTCCTGAGGACCCGGCCTTTGCGGTCTACGTGGGCCGGGATGCAGCCCATGAATTTGGACACCCCTTCAGTCTACACGCTAAACATGTGACCTGTGCTGTTTACAAATGTCCTAGAGGTTCTGAATGCATCGTTTCAGCTGCCAGTAAACTTTGTGTTGAATATTCATCACGTCTGCAGAGGAAGGGCTTCTTTCAGTCAGGTTTCAGAGCCCATCACAGCACAGAAACAGCTACAGTGAAGGTTACAAATGATCTTCTTACAGCAGGAATCTCTTTATCTCTTTAACTTAATGACGTCCTGGGATAATTTCATCACTCTCGAAATGTCTTCAAGGATCCTGGAAACTTTTAAAG